ACTATTATTTAGTTTTATGGTCCAAAATATTTACGTAAGCCTACACGTAATGGCATCATGAAATTGCAATCTCACCGTGCCAGCGTACATGGTTTTCCTGGAATGTTAGGAAGTTTAGATTGTCTACATTGGGCATGAGAAAATTGTCCTTCCTCACACCATGGTCAATTTACCCGAGGTGATCATAGGCATCCAACGGTCATACTTGAAGCGGTGACATCACATGATCAGTAGATTTGGCATGTTGTTTTTGGTTCTCCTGGATCCCTTAACGACATTAACGTTCTTAATTGTTCACCTATATTTGACAACATATACGACGGATCTGCATCAGATTCTTCTTTCCAATTGCGTGGAACACCATATAAATATGGTTATTATCTAGTTGACGGGATCGATCATGAGTGTGCAGTTTTTGTTAAATCCTTTACGTGTCCGAATGATACTCGTCGGAAAAAATTCAAGAAAGCTCAAGAAAGAGTTAGGAAGGATGTCGAGTGGGCTTTTGGAGCTCTCAAGAAACGCTGGTTTATATTGAAAAAAACAACAATTTTTTTCAGCGAGGAAAAAATGCATGAAGTCATGTATGCATGTATAATACTGCATAATATGATCATCGAAAACGAATGAAGAACGATATATGAGTATGATGAAGAGGAAACCATTTCGCGACACAAGCAATAGAAATTGGGGCGACGAGTACATTGAAAAGAGAGCAGAGGTTCGTTGCAATGAAACATTTCACAATCTTCGTATGGACTTGGTGAAATATATTTACGGGATTCAACACATTAACCTCAATTTGGATCCCGAGGATGACCCAAAAGACGAGTTCTCGGAGGATGACTTCATGTAGTTTGTTTTATTTTTAATCGCAATTTGATGTATGTTTTTTTTAAGTTTGTAGGTTTAAAATTTCTAGTGTTTTTTTTCGAAGTATTTAGGATTTTTTTAAGCAATGGAATGTAATGTTATTTTTATTTTGAAGTAATGAAATGGATGTTTTTTTTAAATATAGTTTTTATTTAATTAAAATGAAAAAAAAGTTCAAGTGTGGCACCACTCCTTGGGTGTGGCATGAAACCACACTTTTGTGGTAAATACGTGTCGTCTAAGTGAAGAAAGTACAACTTTTATGACACCACTCCCTTTAGCCTAAACACATTCTTTTTCTAGTGTATAATCATTATTATAGTTCAGGAGCCACATGAGAGTCAGGGTAAGCTCAGGCCCATGCTAAAATTTTTTTTTTCCCTTTTATATATATATATATATATATATATATATTATATATATATATATATTCTAATTAATTTATAAGGAATACTTTAAAATAATAATTTTGACTTCACCCATTGATTATGTAAAGTGGTTGCTGCGATAACTTATTAATTAGCTTTTTATTTTTATATTTATTTTTCGAAAAATGCTAATCAAGATTTTTTTGTCGTGAAGTCAAATGAATACTATAGATTTTTCTAAATGGTGTAGTTCAATGTCAAATGAATACCATAGAATTGAATACTATGTATGGAGACCTTGCATGAAAAAATAGACGATGGGGATTTTGCATAAGAATGTCCTCGGTTGTAAAAGTCGTTAGATGGTTGTCGGGCGGTCAACTGTAGTTAAGAGATTAATCGGTTTAGACAGGGATTAATCAGTGTCTAGACGGATACCATTAGTTATAATATAATTTATTTATTTTTAAATAAATATTACATATATCTTAACAAAATAAGTAAATAACCATAAAAATTTGAAATATTCAATCATCAAAATATTTAAATCATCATATATCATAATTTTAGACTAATCGATGATCATTTACACAATTTTAGTCATCAACCATCATAATTTGGTTACTGCTTATCATAAATTTGACTAATCGATGACTCTTTTTGAAAATTTTGACCGTCTAACTTTTTGATCAGTTTAGACCACCTAAACTGTCTAGGATCGATTTTGATTAACTCAAGCGATTGGCACTAATCGTAGATCGATTTTGATTAACTCAAGCAATTGGCACTAATCGTAGACAGTAAGAGGCCGCCTAACACATAGGCGTCGTATGATTATCGATTAATCACTTAGTATATGTTTTAACTTATCTTATTGGGTGCAATTATATGTTTTAACTTATCTTATTGGGTGCAACATAATATGATTAGGGGATTCAGACCAAAAGAAAAAGGGAAGTAGATCAATGGGGTACAAAGGAAGCACCAAATCATGTGTGGCCATGTGGAAGATGTGTGGGTTACCAGAATGCCATTAAGGAAGAGGCAAATGGAGTATTATCGGGAAGGTGAAACATGTAGGTATGAAGTGGTGGACTACAAACACTTGCAAAAGAACTTATATCGCATGTAACAAATTTCCAAAACTGACAAATTTGACAATTATGAAGATCGATTGATCAAATTTCCAAAACTAAGAACATGTTGGCGAGAGCTTAGTAGATTAGATTTGTTGTGTAAATTTTATCTAGTCCTAGATTAATGGTTGTATCCTGTATTGTAGGTAATTTGTTAGCTCCTATATTGTATATATACATGTATCATCCAATCAATAAGATATACGGGAAAATTACTCCACATCTGTTCCTGATCTCATAGTTTCACATGGTATCAGAGCAGAATAGATCCTAAATCATCGAATCATCAAATTACTAAAGGACCATGGGAAACGAAGGTGACTCTTCAGGACCGTCCAACTCATCTGTGATCGTACAGAACATTCAGGACGCCCCATTCCCTACCGGAGTCATCCTAGATGACACAAACTACCCCTTGTGGTCTCAATTGATGGAGAAGCGTATTGGAGCTCGTAGCAAATCGGGGTTCCTTACCGGTACATCGGCGAAACCCACAACGAATGAAAAGGCGATTGAAACTTGGATCACTGATAACAATAGGGTCAAGAGTTGGCTCGTTGACTCAATGAATCCAACCCTAATGCGCCGATTTATTCGTCTCCAAACAGCGGCTGGAATCTGGGAAGCAGTGAAAAAAACCTTCTATGACGGGTCCGATGAAACCCAATTGTTTGAACTGAACAGAAGGTCCTGCAATACTCGTCAAAGTGGGCGATCCTTACCAACTTACTACAACGAGTTGGTAAGTATCTTCCAAGAAATTGATGCTCGATTAACCCCTGAAGAGGACACTGTGGAGTCTACGGTAGCCTCAAACAAAACTCTATCAAGATTTCGAGTCCACATTTTCCTAGCAGGTCTGGATCAAGAGTTTAACCAGGCTAGGAGCGAAATCCTAAGGAAGGATCCACCCCTCAATCTTGAATCATCGTATGCCTACATCCGCAAAGACCATAGTCAAAGACAATCCATGGAGGAACCCATGCCAGAACCTAACAGCATGGTGCATTTGGCCTCACGAAATCGAACTCAGAACACCAAAGGAAGAAATAACAAGGGAAATACGCTTACGTGTACTCACTGTGGCGAAGATGGACACTCAAAAACCAAATGCTATGAACTCATTGGCTACCCAGAGTGGTGGGATTTCACGAAGAAACCTAGAAAAAAGATTGGCCAAGCTGCTACTGTCAAGTCTCCAAAAACTGAGGAAACGACTACTCCTATAGCAGCTCACACTTCTACAAACACAGGTATGTCCATTAGTAACCAAAACAATCAAAATAACAGGTGTATAATTGATACAGGTGCAACGGATCATATGGCGAATGATCCAGCAAAATTAATTAAGTACCATACTCCAAAACAAGCAAATATTAAAACCGCAAATGGGGAAATGGCACCTGTAGTTGGTGAAGGAACTGTAAAAGTAACAAACTCTATGGATCTTGATTGTGTTCTTGTAGTTTCCTCACTATCTTCAAATTTACTATCAGTCAGCCAAATTACAGAAGCATTAAACTGTTATGTAATTTTTTGGAAAAATGATTATGTCTTTCAGGATATGGAAACTCATCAGACTCTTGGCTATGGTACTAGGCGTGGCAGGTTGTAATATCTTGAAGAAAATCATCAAAGTCAAGCATATCATGCAGGAGTAGTGAAAATAAATAAGTCTGTGGCAATGTTATGGCATCGTAGGCTAGGACATTTATCTTTTGGTTATGTTAGGAAGCTTAAACCTAATTTATTTTCAAATGTAACGGATAGTGATTTCAAGTGTGGTATTTGTGAGTTAGCAAAAAACACAAAAATTTCTTATGGTTCTAGTGATAATAAAACTTCTGTTCCATTTATGAAAATTCACTCAGATGTATGGGGTCCTGCTCCTATACCCACTCCTGATGGTGCAAAGTACTTTGTAACCTTTATTGATGAAAGTACTCGTATGGTATGGGTATTACTCCTTAAACACAAAGGGGAGGTATTAAATGCTTTTGAAGAACTATATAATACTATAAAAACTGTGTACAGGAGGGAAGTCCAAATACTCCAATCTGATAATGGGGGGGGGGGGAGTATATAAACAATCAAATGAAGAATTTATGTAAGGCAAACTTGATTCACCACCAAACTTCATGTGCTCGGTCACCCCAACAAAACGGACTAGCTGAGAGGAGAAATAGACAACTCCTTGAAATAGTTCGAGCCTCTCTCTTTGATATGGAAGTACCTCGAAAATTTTGGGGTGAAGCATTATGATTAGCTGCGTATCTCTTAAACCGAACACCATCAAAGGTACTAGATTTTAAAACTCCATTACAAAAACTTCGTGACCTTACAGGAATACAAATAAGTGATGGTCTTGAACCACACATATTTGGTTGTACCGCATATGTTCACCAAAAATGTGGGAAAGTTAGAGCCAAGTTCAGTTCGATGCATGTTTCTTGGATATGCAGATGCAAAGAAAGGGTATAGATGTTTTGATCCTATCCAAAATAAGGTTCATGTCACGCGTGATGTTGCATTTCATGAAACAATTCCATATTTTGGTCATGAATGTTCCCTTCAGGGGGAGAAAAACGAAGAAGTGAAAACACACGACGTTCATGAACTATCCATGTTTTTTTATGAAGAAGAAGGTGAAGGTGGGAATTACAAAAGTCAAATTGATGTCGATACGCCTAGTACCAATATTGAGCCGGAGCCTAGTACAAACGAAAACCATGAAAACCATGAGCTGGAGTCGGAACAAACTGATACCACTAACACTCCAGATGTTACTAATATCCCAGATGTCGATTTCGATTCTGGGAATTCTGATGTTGTCTTGCAGGATATGAATGAAGAAGGAAGCGGAAGGCGTTACCCAGTGAGGATCAATCGAGGCCAACCAAAGAAACAATATGTACCTGACTTAAAAGCAAAAGCAAAATACCCCATTGGGAATTTTGTATCACACCACAGGCTGTCAGATACTCACGCCCTAAGGGTAGAGAAAATGTCATCTGTTACTATTCCAAGAGATGTACAAGAAGCTCTAAGAGATGTAAAGTGGAAAAAGGCAAAGAACGAAGAAATGGAGGCGTTGCAAAAGAATGAAACATGGGAACTTGTGAATCTTCCCAAAGGCAAGAAGACAGTAGGATGTAGGTGGATTTATAACATCAAACTCGATGAAAAGGGAAACATAGACCGGTACCAAAGCTAGACTCGTAGCAAAAGGATATACACAAAAATATGGCATAGACTATGGAGATACATTTGCTCCTGTAGCAAAGATGAATACGATCAGAATTTTAATATCCATTGCAGCGAATAGAGACTGGCCCTTGAAACAATTTGTTGTAAAAAATGCTTTCTTAAATGGATACTTGGAGGAAGAGGTATATATGGATCCACCACGAGGAACAAAGCAACGAAAGAGTTTGCAAGTTAAAGAGGGCGTTATATGGGTTAAAGCAATCTCCTCGTGCGTGGTTTGGGAGGTTTTCAACCATTATGAAGAAAATTGGATACAAACAGAGTGATGCTGACCATACACTCTTTGTCAAAGGAGGAAAAGATAAGGTTACAACTCTCATAGTTTATGTAGATGACATGGTGGTAACTGGAAACGATCATGAGGAAATAACCAAGTTACAAAAGGTTCTTGCTACAGAGTGTGAGCTAAAGGATCTAGGTCACCTCAAGTACTTCTTAGGCATTGAAGTATCTAGGTCAAGAGCAGGAATCAACCTTTGTCAACGAAAATACGTATTGGATCTACTGGCTGAAACTGGTGTTGAGTATGAATCCACAGAAATGTTGAGTGTGAATCCACAGAAATGTTGAGTGTGAATCCACAGAAAAGCTGGTCAAAAATGGCAGGAACAATGTGAAGTTGTAAAGCCACAATTGTTGAATGAAGACCCAGTTGTGTTTTTTGACTACTTCTGATTTCCATCTCTATATAAGAGATTATTCTGTATTTGTAAAACTTGTATCTAGTGTAACATAGAAAGAGTGCAGATTAGCACCAAGAAATGTAAATTCCTAGTTACCGGTGGACGTAGGTCAGAGAAGGACCGAACCACGTTAAATCCCTCATGTTCATCCTTGTGTTCTTGTTTTTTGTGAGCTGTGTGTGTGTTTAGAGTCGTGTGTTAAGTGTCTCGATCCTAACAAGTGGTATCAGAGCTTTGGTTTAGCTCCAGAGGGTGATTTTCTGTTTTTTGATCGAAATTTTTTTTCGTCAAAAACGATTTTGGTGTATACCGTTGGAAAGGTCTCGTTCCGAAGATTCCGAAAATATTTTTTCTGAATTTTTTGACCACCGGAAGACGTCCAAATCGCCGGTCAAAGGTTTGCCGGAATAGTGACCGGGAAAACCAGTTCGCCGGAGAAGACGACACTGTAGCACCAGACACTGTAGCAGTCCGCCGGAGAAGACGACACTGTAGCAGGAACTGTAGCACGACGTCAGCAGTGATGTCAGCAGACACTGTAGCTGGCACTGTAGCAACGCTGTAGCAGATTTGAAAATTTGCAATTTGGCCTCTGAATTTCCAGAAAATTGCAAGATAGGTCATTGTTCTTTCAGAAAATGGCAGAAAGCAGTAAGCTTCAGATTGAGAAGTTTGATGGGAAAGATTTTGGTTGGTGGAAGATGCAAATTGAAGATTTGCTCGTACATAAAGACTTGGACGCAGTTTTAGGTGAAAAACCGGAGGCGATGACACAGGCAAACTGGGAGACTTTGGATAAGAAGGCCAAGGCATTTATTAGACTGACGTTGTCAAAGGATGTTGCCTTCAATATTTTGAAGGAGACCTCGGCAAAGGGAATCATGGAGGCATTGTCTAATATGTACGAGAAGCCGTCGGCAGCAAATAAAGTCTTCCTGATTCGGGAACTAGTCAACACGAGGATGAGGGAAGGAAGTTCAGTTACAGTACACATCAACAATTTGAACTCGATTTTATCCAGACATGGGTCAGTGGGAATAAAATTTGAGGACGAAGTTCAAGCTTTACTACTGTTATCATCATTACCTGACAGTTGGTCCGGAATAGTTACAGCCGTTACTAGTTCCGCAGGATCGAAAGAGCTCACTTTTGAGGGATTTAATTCTAGGCGAAGACGTCAGACGAAGAAATTCCGGGGAATCATCAAGTGAACAATTGAATGCGGTCAGAGGTAGAAGAAATAACAGAGGTAGTGGAAGCGGGAACAGGAGAAGGAGTCAGTCGAGGACTCGAAATGATGTGACTTGTTGGAACTGGAAAGAGGTTGGACATTTCAGGAATCAATGTCCAAAAGACAAGAAAGAAGTTAACGTTACAGTAGACCATTCAGATGATGATGTTTTGATCTGTAGTGTGGAGAGCAATGTGGATTCCTGGGTTATGGATTCGGGTGCTTCATTTCACGCTACCCACAGCCGTGAAGCACTGCGGAATCTGAAAGAAGGGGATTTTGGTAAGGTAAGACTGGTGAACGATGAGGTTCTTGATGTGACGAGCATAGGTGACTTAGATCTGAAGACTCCAGTCGGTCCATGGAATTTGAAGGATGTCCGGGTAATTCCAAGTCTGAAGAAACAGTTGATTTCTGTTGGGCAGTTGGATGAACAGGGACACGAGGTTAAGTTCAGGAATGGGCAGTGGAAGGTTGTCAAAAGAAATCTTGTGATAGCTTGTGGACATAAGAGGGGTTCATTATATATGGTCAGTTTACCGTCTAAGGGAGTAACCGTCCCAGTTCAGAAGAAAAACAAAATCCGGTTCATAGAGTCTCGTGGACAGAAGAAGGTTTGCTTTGCAGATGGCAAACCCAGAGTCACAGGTCAGATTCAGGTTGAACGTGTTTGGAACGGTTCAGAAAAACCAGTCAAGGGCATTCATAGCAGTGGGAGCATGGGCTTTGTTTCAGCTAGAATACCCAGAACATAGTGGGTTAAGAGAACCAGTATTCCATCTGTAATAGTCTCTCCAGATTATCTGCTTCACATGGAGAGTGTCGTTTGTTCTCAGGATGTTCCAGGATCGGGCAGTTCATTTCAGTGGGAGCCGATGGAGACAGAGAACAGGTCAGTGGCAGACTTAGCCATGACTGATGTGTTGGAGCTAACGAAAGCTTCAACTGGCCTTCAGGATAATTGAAGAGAAGGCCAGGGTAACTAGGAAGGAGTTAAAATCAAATACAGATGCACAGTTGAAGCACATGTGAAGATTGTTCCGTGGCTTCAAGTGGGAGATTGTTGAGTATGAATCCACAGAAATGTTGAATGTGAATCCACAGAAATGTTGAGTGTGAATCCACAGAAAAGCTGGTCAAAAATGGCAGGAACAATGTGAAGTTGTAAAGCCACAATTGTTGAATGAAGACCCAGTTGTGTTTTTTGACTACTTCTGATTTCCATCTCTATATAAGAGATTATTCTGTATTTGTAAAACTTGTATCTAGTGTAACATAGAAAGAGTGCAGATTAGCACCAAGAAATGTAAATTCCTAGTTACCGGTGGACGTAGGTCAGAGAAGGACCGAACCACGTTAAATCCCTCATGTTCATCCTTGTGTTCTTGTTTTTCGTGAGCTGTGTGTGTGTTTAGAGTCGTGTGTTAAGTGTCTCGATCCTAACAACTGGAATGCTAGATTGCAAACTGGTCAATACTCCTATCAAAACTAATCACTCTCTGTCAATCAGTGAGAACCAAGTTCCAGCAAACAAAGAAAGGTATCAAAAATTGGTGGGAAAACTTATATATTTGGCTCACACACGACCAGACATTGCGTATGCTGTGAGTGTGGTTAGTCGTTTTATGCATGCTCCAGGAGAAGAACACATGAATGCTGTTAATCGAATACTAAGGTACCTTAAGTCATCTCCCGGAAAAGGCTTATTTTTTGGAAGGAACACAGATCGCAACAAGGAACTGGAAGTAAGAGGTTACACGGATGCTGATTGGGGTGGTGATCGAATGGATGGCAAGTCTACCTCTGGATACTTCACATTTGTGGGAGGAAACTTAGTGACATGGAGGAGTAAAAAGCAAAAAGTAGTGTCTCGATCAAGTGCAGAGGCCGAGTTTCGGGGAATGGTACATGGAATATGTGAACTACTATGGATAAGAAGAATTCTCATGGATTTGGGAATACTATTGATTACACCCATGCTATTATATTGTGATAATGAGTCAGCTGTGAAAATTGCTAACAATCATGTACAACATGATCGAACAAAGCATGTGGAGATTAACCGGCACTTCATTAAGGACCACCTTGAGAAAAGAACCGTAGAGTTACCACATGTTGCATCGAAAGAGCAGTTAGCTGATATGCTAACTAAGGCTGTGTGTGGAAGAATATTCGAAAGATCTCTTGACAAGCTAGGAATGGTTGATATCCATTCACCACCTTGAGGGGGAGTGTTGGCGAGAGCTTAGTAGATTAGATTTGTTGTGTAAATTCTATCTAGTCCTAGATTAATGGTTGTATCCTGTATTGTAGGTAATTTGTTAGCTCCTATATTGTATATATACATGTATCATCCAATCAATAAGATATACGGGAAAATTACTCCACATCTGTTCTTGATCTCATAGTTTCACAGAACACACTTGCAAAAGAACTTATATCACATATAACAAAACTATAATTTACTCCAAAAGAATAGTATTCTTAACAAATTATAAGCAATCAAATTTCTAAATAATCATTCATTGGGTTATTGTTAGAAAAATCTAATTATTTTGTTATAGTTTATTAAAAAATCTCAATTTTTATTTTTTTTTCAACAGAAAAATCTCGATAATATAATTTTATATGAAAATTTATAATTTTTTCTTTAAAAAATATAATATGTTAATTTGAACAAACGATTAAATAATCAATACTTTTCTATTTAAAAAATAAAAATTAAAACTTTTCTATAAATTAAAACTAAATAATAATTATTTTCTAACAATAACGCAAAATAAAAATCCACGTAAATTTTTTGGAAAACTAGTTCAAAATGCACCAGGTATTTTTAAAGCCCAATATAAAACGGGAAAATGACTTATTAAGGTAATTAACTTTTCAGTATGTTCATATCTGGGTAACTATCTTTTTTTTGTACACATCTAGGTAACAAACTTGTTGGAAGTGTTCACATATGACCATTATGACCTGCTGTAGCAGGTTAAATCCTAGATGTGAACACTTTCAACAAGTTCGTTACCTAGATGTGTACAAAAAAAATACTTACCCAAATATGATCAAAACAAAAAATAAGAGTAAATTACACGAATGGTCCTTGTGGTTTGGGGGAATTTATGTTTTTGGTCCCTAACTTATTTTTATAACTCGGATGGTCCATACTGTTTATTTTTGTTGCGCGTTTGGTCTCCGTCTTACCTAAAAAGACTATTGTGCCCTTATTAATTTATTTTTGAATTAAATTTCTTATTTATGTATTTATTTTTTATATATTTAAAAAAATTAATAGACCCCAAATATTTGTATCTCCTCACTGTAAACCTGAAACTACATTTGAGAAATTTAATTTGGGTCTCACCGGTCACCATCTCATCTCTCATCATTGTCAACTTCTATTTCTTTTCATCTTTAGTGACATCGACGTCTTCACCATCCTTCTTTTTTTGGTCCGTCAACTCTTGCGAACCAACACCATAACCCACTGTCTCTTCATCTTTAGTAGGTTGTGGTGTTGATTCGACGGAGTTGAATGACCGAAAAAAGAAGGGATGGTGAAGACGTCAATATCACTAAAGATGAAAAATAAATAGAAGTTGAGGAGGATGAGAGATGAGATGGTGATGAGATACAGATATGTGAGGTCTATTACTTTTTTTTTATAAATATATAAAGAATAAATACATAAATAAGAAAATTAATTAAAAAATAAATTAATAAGGCACAATAGTCTTTTTAGGTACGACAGAGACCAAGCGCGTAACAAAAATAAACAGTAGGGATCATCCGAGTTAAAAAAATAAATTAATTAAAAAATAAACAGTAAAGATCATCCGAGGAGATACAGATATGTAGGGTCTATTAATTTTTTTAAATATATAAAAAATAAATACATAAATAAGAAAATCAATTAAAAAATAAATTAATAAGGGCACAATAGTCTTTTTAGGTAAGACAGTGACCAAACATGCAACAAAAATAAACAGTATTGACCATCCGAGTTAAAAAAATAAGTTAGGGACCAAAAACACAAATTCCCCGAAACCACATGGTCAATTCGTATAATTTACCTTTACTTTTCGTTTTGTTCATATTTGTGTAACTATTTTTTTTGTACACGTCTAGGTAACGAACTTGTTGAAAGTGTTTACATTTAGAATTTAACCTGCTACAACATGTCATATGTGAACACTTCCAACAAGTTTGTTACCTAGATGTATACAAAAAAAATAGTTATTCAGATGTAAACATACAGAAAAATTAATTACCTTAATAAATTATTTTTCTATTTAAAACTGTAAAAGTAAAAGTTTATTTTATTTATATTATTTTTTCACCTTCGTTGTCTAGCATTTTCTTTGGGTCTCGAAAAGAATAATAAAGTAATGAAATTTTATTCTATCTTTACGGTCCCTATCTCTCCAAAGAAAAACTGTGTATACGATGATCATTGATCAATTGGACTATTCGATTTTTCTTTTTTTAAATCCATATAACTTCATAGATCAAACATGTGCATCTACATGTAAAAGTTGGAAGAAAAAACCCAATCTTGTGGTTCTCGTGCTTACATCGATCTCGATCTCGATCTCGATCATCCTCCACTTATCGAACGCCATCAGCTGATTCTGTCGATCTGGTACGTTTTCTGCTTCTTTCGTTTTCTGCTTCGATCGTTTGGTGTGATTTTGTGATAGTTCTTCGTAGATAAATGATCAGAAGAAGAAGATTACCTAGACAAAGTCAACAATTTAAGGATAAATTGAAGTTTCATCCAATCAATTGAAGGTTTAGGAATAAACAGATCATAATTGTAACAAGGAATTAAAATAAAGATTGAATTTAGAAAGAAGGAAATACCTTTTATAAATTCTCCTTATTTCAAGTTCTTCTCATCAGTGATCAGTTAGATGTGGATAAGATCACTAGCAATCCAGTAATCCAGCAGATTTCTGGCTAGATCTTGTTTACTTCACTGTGTTCTGAGCTTAAATAGTTTTCATATGCAAATTTCTTAGGCCTTCGTTCCATATTTAACATCAGCACCATTATATCTCTAACATGAGCTGTAAACATCAATTCTGTTCCTAAATTTTCTCCAAAATATTAAGATCTACATTTAGGTTACATCTGAAAGGGCATAATAATCCAAAGCTGCTACCTTAAATCTTTTCAGAAATATGTAATTAATCTTTGTTTGGTGTTGCCTTTTGTGTTTTTTAACATATCTGGCGATGAATATGTGCTTATCATTGTGATTATTCTTACCTTTCTTGACTAGTTTGACCGACAATCTAAGGTCAACATCAACAAATATGTTTATAATCTACATGTTAGTTAGCAAGCTAGATCCAATTTCTAGTTCTATTTGAATTAAAACCCAAATTTTGTTCACAGAGACAATTTTCTAGTTGGGGCCATGTGGTGAGCTTGAAAAATACTTTCCTTTTTTATTGCAATTATTAGGCTGTGGGAATTTATAAAGACTTGAAAGAAACTTTATATGTAGTTTCAGCTTGACACACATTAATTGGACATGTGAAGTAGGATGAACATGATCACATGCTTATTTATTCTCACACAATATAAATGCAAATGAGAAAATGAAAAACTTAAATGATCTAAATAAATAGGATTAGTCTTAAATATCTTTAATTTGCAATATATGTCATTGTAGCAAACATAGTGCATAAGTTTTCATTTCTTCATGTTATATCATTGTACTTTAAAAAAAATTACCCAATTATAGCAATATGGTCCAAACACAAAACATTATTCATTGCTATAATTGGGTTGATTTTTCAAAGTACACCGTCTTAATAAGAAAAAAAAAAGTCAAAAGTCAATGCATAATTGGTTAGATTTTCAATGTAGGAAAGAACGAAAGTAAGATGCTGCAATAAACAAATAAATTAAAGTATATTGCTATTTCTTGCATTCAATGTACAACATTTTAATTTACAAAAAATTGAAAGTACAATACTATAAATAGAAAAAAAAAAAACAAAAGCAAGATGCTACAATAAACAAATAAATAAAAGTACGTTGCTATTTCTTGCATTTCTACAGACGAAAGTTAGGACATGGCCTTGGTTACAACCGCGGAAGTATGCGACGCGAACCCTCAACTAATCGTAAGCGGCGAACTGCGTGCACTGCAACCCGTCCTGCAAATCTACGGGAGACGCCAAGTGTTCTCGGGTCCCGTTGTCACTCTCAAAGTCTTCGAAGACAATGTTTTAGTGCGTGAGTTTCTAGAAGAAAAGGGAAATGGGCGCGTTCTAGTGGTTGACGGTGGTGGAAGCTTACGGTGTGCTATACTGGGCGGCAATCCCGTGGTGCAAGCCCAGAATAACGGGTGGGCCGGCATTGTGGTCAATGGGTGTGTACGCGATGTTGATGAGATTAATAGTTGTGATATTGGTGTGAGGGCACTTGCGTCTCATCCGGTGAAGGCGAATAAGAAGGGGATTGGGGAGAAACATGTGGCGGTTATGATTGGCGGGACTAGGATTTCGGATGGGGAGTATTTGTATGCGGATACGGATGGATTTTGATCTCCAAAACGGAGTTGTCTGTGTGAGTTTTGATTGTTGATGTTTTTGTGATAATATTTGTGTATTTGATCAGCAGTCTGTGAGATTCGAACCTGTGTCAACTCTATTTTGGAGTGTTTCATATAAGGTGGTAAAGATTGGCCACCTTGATGTTGCTATTTGTGTACTAAATTAATGCTTTGGGAGGACTCAAAAGAGTATGTATTGTGTACTTGTATGTTTTAATTTGAAATAAAACATGAAGTATAAGCACTTAATCTCGACTTTTTTTTTCCTTTTTGATTTATTCCGGATCGAATGATGTAATGGTTAAGGGAAAAAGCATAGTTTAATGTAACAAGACACTAACAATTTCCCGATTTGTGATTATTGTTTTTTACTTTCAATTTCTCTCATGTTAAAATTGAGAAATATGGTGAAATTTGGTTTTTGAAAAGTTAGGATTAAATGATAATTCGGTCTATACAAAAAACATATATTACTTATACAACAAGAAGCAAAATTTATGTATACAACATTTTATCATTACTTATCATTACATACATCATAAGCTTTCAACCAATTTTTCCAATACACAAACATAATAGGAAAATAAATAGATAAATCTCGTTCGCTTTTGATTGTATCTCGGATTCTCGTCATCTTGATTCTTGTCCATTTAACTGTAATCTTCTCAAGTTACACTTTTGATTCCTAATCTATGCTCATTGCTTCATAATCTACCCCAAATTTCTTTTTCCTTTAATCTTCGATACTTCCAGAATTTATACTTTATCTTTAGTTTCCATTTATGACTTTTAATACCCTTAGGTTAATTTAAATGTCGACTAAACCCCTATAATACATTCTTATACAATAATGCTTAAAATTAAAGGAAATTTAATTGTTCATAAATTAGGAATCGTACATTTTATCGCCTTTAATAGCAAAATAGTTAACCCATAGGCATTGGTGTTACACGGTAAGACTTGTTGTTCTAAGCACACCTAAAGAGTATATTGTTCATAGCTTGGGCTCCCGATTTGGATCGCTTAAAATTGGGTGCACGAATAGTAGGAAACACACCCCCACACTTAGATAGTCTATGTTAGGTTTTTCTATAACTCGCAAAGACTCACAGGAATCACATAATTAGTGATCCTATTGGTTCAACTAGACCTCGCAATGGAGCGGTTTTGACCTTGATCCGCTTCAAGTTCGTGCAAAGTTAATGAGTTTGGATCATATTTTATGATTTGGTTACTCGTTAACGACATGTACCCGTTAATCCTTTTATTAAAAGAGTCGAGTATGGATCACAATCGATCCGATCCGTTTATGACCCGCCCATTCTAAAATTTTAAAATATATGTTTATTATTTATAATTTATAATACATTTATCATGTAACATCCAAAAAATTTCACGCCAAATTTAAACTTTTTCAATCACAAATAAAACCAGATAGTATTTGTTTACAAAAATGTTTTCAATCATTATTCATCAGAGTGTCCCAATAACCAGATCATAAGGATGAGGAGCGGTACGGTCACGCCTTCGCCTTACCATGATCTCCTGAAGTACCTGAAACAATAAACTGAAAACTGTAAGCCCGAGGGCTCAGTGAGCTACCCCCAAAATATCAATACCACACCAATAATACCATATCAGTAACAGACAATCAACAACATGCATACTGGGTCATCGGCCTGACTGGACCGCCCTGTAGGGCCTACAGTCTATCTAAATCTGTCCCGAGCCTTCGGCATAACTGAACCGCCACGTGGGCCTACAGTCTCTCCGGACCGCTCATAGGGTATGTTGGCCTTCAGCACAAAGCGAGACCGCCTCAACCCAAGCAACAAGCAAATAACCATGTGCGCATAACTAACATATACTGGCATATACAAGCATCAAACATATCTATCTCACTGATCACCAATCATAACAATCTCTCGTAACTAGAGCATCGACCTAGCAGGTCACTAACATATCAATCCCTACGGATCATAAGAGCATAACATACTGTCTATCCTGATTTCGATCTAACAGGTCATAACCACATGTAGCATACCATAACAATAACAAATAAAGGGTCGGCCTTGGTGCCTTAGACCCTATCGATATAGTGAGGATAATTCACCTTGTAGATGTCGACTCGGTGGATAAACTTCAACCCTCGGATCACTGCCACAAACTCCACCACCTATTACCATAGTATAACCATAATGTAAGTTCTCAACCTCTCAAGGTACCCCATCAGTCAACTAGTCAACCTTTGGTCAAAGTCAAAGTCATCAGTCAATGTCAACAGTCCATGTTGACCTTAACTCGCCGAGTACCCTCAGCTATTCGCCGAGTTCCATGAAATACCTGACCACTCGCCGAGTCACCGGAGTGACTCATCGAGTTCTAAGGCTCGCGATTGGAACTCTAAGGCCACTCGTCGAGTTTTCCTTCTTGCGACTCGACGGTTGCACACGCATACATAAATTGGGGAAACCTCAACCGACTCGCCGAGTTGTTCATCCACTCGTCGAGTCTACGACAATCTTCATCGGACTCGCCGAGTTGTTCATCCAACTCGTCGAGTTCAATGCCTATCTTCATATGACTCGCCGAGTCGACTATGCGACTCGCCGAGTCTCTTCAGCCCTTTAACCATGCAGACACTTTCTAAGCCATGCCCGGGCCCCAAATTGCAGATCCAACTTCCTTAGGCATGCTTATCACACAAAGTTGCAAACTTTACGTGCATGCAAGGCTTTAAGACCCTAAAATGGCACAACTAAGCTTGCAATGAAGTCACATCCTTGAGAGAAGGCTCATACTAGACAAGGCTGATGGCTTAATGAATGTAGAAGCCAAGGGGAGTCCAGATCTGAAGTTACAACTTCAGATCTTGGCTTAGACACAAGAATCCTTTCCTAAACTTATGCAAAAAAGGGTTTAGGAAAAAATGAGCCAAGGGAAAAACGATTTAATACCTTCAAGAGAGCCCTTTCTGATGCAGAACTTGAAACCCACAAGCTCTTGCTTCAACTAGCTTGCTTCCCAAGAGATTCCCTCACCAAAAATCTTCCTCCAAGCTAAAATTTCCAAAGAATACACACACACTCGAGTTAGGGTTCTTCTGGACTCTCAATGGACTGCAAAGAGGCCAAAGGAGACTTATGCTTCTTTAAATAGGGTGCAAAACCCCGGGATTTAGGGTTTCATCTGCCAGCTCCTGCTCGTCGAGTCCCTTCTTGGACTCGGCGAGTAGGCCACTAAATACGCGAACCAACCCGCTGCTACTCGACGAGTAGGGCAACCAACTCGTCGAGTAGGCCTTGAAACCAATTAAATTCTTATTTAAACAATACCTGAGAATCGGGGCGTTACAATTCTCCCCCACTTGAACTAGACTTCGCCCTCGAAGTCTGCTGGAATAAAGAACGCCGGGTAATGCTCTCGCATTTCCGCCTCCGGCTCCCATGTCCACTCGGATCCCCTCCGATGCTCCCACTGCACTTTTACCAAAGGTATTTCTTTGTTCCGCAAAATCTTCTTCTTCCTTTCCAAGATGGCCACAGGCCTCTCTACGTAATTCAGGCGCTCATCGATCTAAATATCATCCAGCGATACTACTGCCTCCTGATCCATAATACACTTTCGCAATTGCGAAACATGGAACGTGCTATGAATTCGGCTGAGCTCCTCCGGTAGCTCTAGCCTATAAGCCACTTTACCCACCCTGGCAATGATCCCGAATGACCCATTATAACGGGGACCCAATTTTCCCCTCTTCCTGAAGCGGATCACACCCTTCCAGGGCGAGACCTTCAGAAGTACCATGTCACCAACCTGAAACTCTAAATCCGATCGGCGTCTATCAGCGCAACTCTTTTGCCGGCTCTGAGCGGTCTGCAGCCGCTGTCTGATCTGCTGGATCTTTTCGGTAGTCTGCAAGACTACCTCCGTCCGACCCATCACTCTGTGTCCAACCTCACCCCAACAGACCGGGGTTCTACATCTTCGACCATACAACAGCTCAAAAGGCGAGGCGCCAATACTGGAATGATAACTGTTGTTGTAGGCGAACTCTGCAAGCGGTAGGTGGGAATCCCAACTCCCACCGAAGTCAATGACGCACGCCCTCAACATATATTCGAGGGTCTGAATGGTTCTCTCACTCTGTCCATCGGTCTGTGGATGGAACGTTGTACTAAAGTGCAGCCGCGTACCCAGTTCCTCATGGAACTTCTGCCAAAAACAGGAAGTAAACCTGACATCCCGATCGGAAATGATGGAGACTGGAACCCCATGGCGAGAGACAATCTCGCTGACGTACATGTCGGCCAATTTCTCGGCCGACGAACTCTCCCGTATGGCCAAGAAATGGGCACTCTTGGTCAACCGATCCACGATGACCCATATAGCATCGAACCCCTTCGCCGTCCTCGACAACTTCGTAATGAAGTCCATCGTGATATGTTCCCATTTCCACATGGGAATCTCCAGAAGCTGCAGCTTACCATGCGGCCTCTGATGCTCGGTCTTGACCATCCTACAGGTCAGGCACCTCTCAACATACCAAGCGATTTATTGCTTCATACCGGGCCACCAGTAACTCAAACTCAGATCGCGGTACATCTTGGTGGCTCCCGGGTGTATAGAAAAGTAAGACTTATGAGCCTCCTCCATCACTGTCTGCCGGACCCCTCCGGACATCGGAACCCAAACCCGACCGTGTCGGGTCAATAATCTGCGGCTATCCTGAACAAACCGGGCGCCCTCGCCCTTAATCCGCTCCATCTTCCAGTTTTCTGGTCTCATGCCCTCAACCTGAGCATCCCTAATCAAGCTCACAAGCGGGGAATCCACCGCTATCCTCATACACTGTAACACTCATAAAAATTGCACCAATTTAAAACATTTTAATTCATTCAAAAGCCATTAACTTATTACAACTTGTTTTCAAAAGAGTTTAAACATCAGAGTATCCCCAGAACCAGATTACAAAATCATGAAGTATGAGGA